TTCTGCACCATAATACGAACAAAATCCAATTGTTCATGTAATATGCGCATTTATTCGCGATTTATTCACGCCACGCCGCAGTCATGATTAAAATGTTTCCAAGTTAACAATTCTTTCATTATTGCTAACAATAAATTCGCGACACACTTAGCCGTGCGAAAGGTAAACGATTAGCTTGCCAAAGTTCTCGACAAATTTTCCTCCATAAAATCCGACGCCGCAGCTCAACGATAATCCGCGATGCCTTTAATTAGGTGTTCGGAAACAAAAAAGAAGGCACTGTTGGAAAAGTTTTAAACCGCACGCTCGAGAATCGCGCCGATTCCAGGGCGGAGCACCTTGCTAAAGGGGTCGAAATGGCAGCCTTAATTCTCAGGGCAGACTCGGGGCCGTTTAATCGTCGTGATAAATTAATACCGGCGAACGCACTCCCGCGCCTCCCATTTGATTTGTCGGCCGTAGCCGTTGTGCGTGATGTATACGTGTATATTCTGGTGTGTACACGCCTGCGTATATTTTACTTGTTAGAAACGTGATTCTCGAACGACATTAGGTTTCGTACGGTGAGTCAGTGGAGCTCTGACCGTTGCTCGAATCGAGACTCCCATAAACATGTCGCGGCGCAATGCAGCCGGACAGGAGACATTGCGATGCGCGATGCGGCGACCCACATGCCAAAAGCGGGAAGAGGAATGGCACGGAACCGGCCAGCCGGCGGGCCGTCCTAACTGCAAAGTCACATTTACGCCCCCGAAGAATTCGCGACGTGAACAGCTGATGTCCCCCTCGCGTGTATACGAAAGCATCTGGCCGAACAACGGTTACTATCCAAACCACTAGGTTCGTTGGCGCTGGGCTGGTCATAACAATTTTTTTTCTTTTGACATAATTAGATAGAAGAAAAATATCGCGACATATATGTTAAAATCATGAGATTATTTTTAAAATTATTGTTAACATCATAAAATGACATTTTATTGAAACATTTCGATGCAAAACTTGAAGCGCTTCGGCACACCTGATCTGAAATTTCTTCAATAAGAATATTACGTGAGAAAAGGAGACGTATATATTGCGTGACTGTAAGCATTTACACTGACACGTTTATTAAGGGTTAAGGACGATTGATCGTTCGATATTTATCGTATTATATCAACACATTCACTTCAATTACCTAATACTAACAGCGGTACTACAACCGCAGTGCTATCGATAATTACATAACGCTGGCGCGAGCAATTAGGATACTAGGCGTGAGAGGGATTTACGAGGTGGCATGGGACTTTCACTTTTTGCGGTGCGCGTGGGAGACATGCGGCGACTTTATAAAACTTTAATTTAATTTTTGTGCGTGCGGACCGCGTACACCTCGGTCCACTGCCGCAGCCTCACAAACAGATTCTGAGCGACGCGACGTAACCGCCGCAACGACCCAGATGCCAAATGTGGAAAGAAGAAATGGTGCAGCTTGGTAAACGACAAAGTTTATTCTAAACTGTCACAGCATACAAATGCATTCTCTTCGCCGCGGCAACGTCGTCATTGCGCGACTATTTTTAGTTCAGAACATATCTTTAATACAGAAGATGACTTGCATTCATAATTCTCGTGAATTGTATGAATGGAATGCACGAAGGAACCTGGGAGAGGTTGAAAACAGACTTATATTTTTTAAATAATAAGAGTTAAATAATATCATATAATAAATAAGATTAGAATAATTAATATGATTATTAAATTTATTTTGTTATTTCTTATATATGATACGTGTATTCATGATGAGAATGAAAAAGATTTATGAACCGTATTCTTAAATTTTAGAAAAATTTTGTTAAACTACCTTGAAAAGTCTTATCAAAAATTTGTAAATATCTAGCTGTGTCTTAAAGATATTATTAATTTACAATCATACACTTGAGTATATATCGTAACAGCTTTGAAACTATCAGCTCTAAACTGACAGCTCTAATACGTCGGCAGGCCTGGCGAGTTTGCACACGTACACGTGCGTGTAAACTTATGCGTGCACGAGCGTGTGTGCCTAGGCGTATACGTATACACGTGCGTGGTACCACTTACAAAGTGCACGATTGATCATAACTCAGACGAGTTCTCGCGATCGAAGCGCACTATGAATAGTAGCTAATTGACCCAGTTGAACCCGAGTCGGTCGGCGCAAGGCATGATATAAATACCGATACCGATGCCCATCGAACACGTACGGGAATCACGCGACTCACGTGCGCACACACACACACACACACACACACACACACACGCACGGGGCCCACACACACGCGCAGCCGCGCACACGCGATCTCGCAAGGATATTACCGCGGGTCGTGTCCGGCCCCGACCGCGGAGGATCCCCTCGACCGATCCTTCGTGGAATTCCAGCGACGCGACCGAATGTGGGTGTCGTGTCTGACGATCGGCGTGATAAATTAAGGACGTGATCCGATCGATCACATCGCCATTCTTGGCCCGATGCGCCGCCGGATAAATTTATCAAGTCGCTCGCGGAGTGAATTTTTGTGTCTCGCGAACGACAACGGGTTGGCCATTGTAAAAAAAAAGAAACTGATCCTTTTCTTAACCTTGGTAAAGAAGATATATGTGAAAAATGAGAAAGAGAAGAAATTGAGAAAAAGAAAAATGCGAAATATCTTCTACAAAGGTGGACGAGTATGTGCGAGACTTGTTGTTAAATATATATATATGTGTCAATAGTAACATGTTTTTAGCGAACAAATCGGTATTTGCTGATTTCGACGAGTGAAAGTTCGCGCGCTAATTGATTCGTCAGACGAGCGCCGTGTGTACATGATCAGCGAATTTCCCAGTAAAACGTGATTAGTTTGTAATTAGGACATCCAGGAAGCGCGCCGTTCATTAACGTGAATCTACCGATAGCATCATAAAATCCTTAGCGAACGATCTCGTTGCTAGGAAGTATACCGTTTGATGCGTAGATGGCGAAAGATATAAAGAAACGAAAGATATGCACATATGCAATGCGCAATGAATCAAATCATTCTTCATTGAATAACATTGACACAAGCATCATCCTATATTCTCGTCGGTCGACAGGCTTTATTAGAATGCAAGACTGCCTGCCATATCGCAGTCCCGACATATATTTCACACTTTCATACTACTTCGAGAAGCTCAATAAATTTTCTAGCGATAGGGAGTTTTTGCAATAGCATATGTTTTACATTCGGTACACGCGTCAAATCAGTATGCAGTGAATGATAATGTGAACCTAAGGTGGAAATTGCTACGGACGGTTTATAGGTGTTACACGACACGTTTATCGTATTCGAGAAGTACCTACGGTATTGCAAAAACTTCTAGCTGTACACGGCGTGAAGAAATGTTAACGATTGGAAAATACGGATGCGCGTTTAAGCATTCCGATGGAGGAAGCGAAGTGTGTACAACGTCGGTACGTAGAGCAGATAACTGGTTAATTTATCCGCTATCAAGTAACATCAGGGACTGCTCGAAGTCGTTAATCATATTTACGCTTTAATAAGTGAAAATAAACGTGGCTGACATGCGCGTGCGCTTTATAGTTTCTACAGTAAGCGGAATTTCTTTTAATTACCAAGCTTGTTTGCGAGAAACCTTAATGAAACATTATGGCAACGCCCTCCCTTCTTCCTTGGCATTTTGTGCGAACAGATGAATCAGGTAGAATAATATTTTTAATATAACAAATATATATATATTATACTTTTCACCGGAAAACGTTTGATACCACGGAAACGCTCGCCGTGTTTATTGAAGAGTCGTTCTACTTTGGGGATCGACGAATCGATCCTAGGTTAAAGATCCCGGAATCCCGGTTAAAGATCGTAGAGCCGAGATCTGGTTCAGAAGATCTAGGCCAGCGTTGCGCAAGTCGTGACAGAAATCTTCCAAACTTATACGAGAGATTACTGCGACATATTTACGAAGAAATTCTGGAGAGATAGCAAAATTCACCATCGAAAATCGCGATTTTTATTATCATTAAGAGTGAATCTTTTTTTCACCGCCACTGCCAGTGTAGTAGAAAATGAGAAAAAATAACGCCGATATTCTATTCACAAAAACTTAATATTATTGTAACAGCTTTTTTGTTACGTGCAAAATGGATTATGTAACTATATAGAATCTGAAATAACTTTCGCAATTTTTATTGCGAACAAAAATTGTAAAATGATCGTTGTACAGCTTCAACAGACGTCAATGTTAATAATAGCATTTATATGGCATGTATTTTTTGAAGCCATATTACTACGACATTTAACAGTTTTCGTGCGTAACAACGGATAGCAATGTAACTACATAGAATTTAAAAGTTTTCGTACGTTATTTTATATATTTTTTTTATATAATTACAATTTTTTAAACATAATTTTCTTTATTTTTTCTCACAATTAGAAAAATAGTTAAAGAAATGTTTCTGTATAATATTACAAAAGTGTTATTTTATATAATTTATTAAATTTATGGGAAAATACTATATATTAATAATTATAGAGAAACATTTTAGATATTGTAAAATCCAATTGGATATCATAATAGATACTAATCACGTAAAAACAAAACGTACGTTTTAAGTTATTTATTTGAATTTAAACGTTTTGTACAAAAAAAAACCAAGCAGAATGGAGCCGCGCGACAACGGCACAATCAACATGATGTGATAAGCTCTTCTCGGATTCACGAAGAGATTAAGGCCCGCGGACTAAATGGACATGGATTTGGTCTATTCACGGCGTATACCTGTGCGCGTTTATAGCATCGTTCGATAATCGAACGACCCTGAATGTGCCGTTGCAACAAACAAACAAATGGCTGATACGGCGAATGTTTTTGACATTATCAAATATCGGCTACGACGTACTTTTTTCGTTTACGTAAATACGCGCGCGTAAGCGCGATACCTTATCCTATCTCGAGCGCGATATAATCGAGTAAATTAACGATCGTCCGTCTTCGTGTTTCAGACTATCAGTTTCCGATTGACGTTTCCGGCGTAGCCAAGGACCACCCTTTCCTCGAGGCCGATTCGCTGCAGAGCCTTTTCCGGCGTCTGCACGCCCTTAATCGTTGCGCCAATATGAAGCTCGACACGCATCACACGCACCACAGCACGAGCCACAGCAAAAGCGTGAGTATACGTTGAATTACTCGTCTACGGAGCACGTACGGGAAGCGTTGCGCAAACGCGCGGATACACGGAGATGCGACAAGGAATTTCAATGAGAGTTCAATTAATTCATTGGAGTTAAGCCCAATTTTATTATATTGACTTCCGCATTTTGCATAATTCTCATAAGGAGATTTGCTCCGGGAATAATTTCGATTCCGCTACTTTTATGCTATTTTTGCCCTATTCCTCCGTAAACTTATTTTTCTTTTCTTCGCAGTTTCCATCTTTAAAGGTTTCCTTGAAATTCTCGTCGCATCTTCTCTCTCCGAGCGTTCTCTTGAGAATTTCCCGATAGACGATGAGATCTAGAGGAGACCTCAAGACGGAAATGTCAGATTAGAGCCCGGGGTCAGTTAGAGGAGACAAGGGTACTTAAATGTTTCTTAGAATCCCATGGTGGAAACGATTCAAATGTCACGTTTTACAATTTTTCTTTGTGACGTCGCGCGTGGGTTTCTCTATTATTAATGTTTATCATTGATTTAACATATCAGTTTTCTAATTAAAATGGTAAAATTTTTAATTAGTTGAGTTTATATGTAATTATATAAATAATAAATAGCACGTTGCGTGATGATAGATAACACTTTGCTAAGAATGAAATTTTGAAGATTAAATTAAGAAAGTAGATAAAATAGTTAAATATGTCGATAAGGAGTATATATACGATTATATAGACGTATAGGAGTATATAGACGTTATAGCCACTCTCATATTCTTGCTTCGTAATCTATGACAAATCGACATTTGAGTCACATATTATGACTTTTATGACACGTTCACACATATGGTCATTGTTATGCACTAGATGAAAGCACCCGCGTGTACTGTGTTTTTACGATTACCTGTGTGGAACAGTGAACAAATGAACGGAATAGCAATCAACAGTTGTCACGTGACGGAAATAAATTCGTAGTTAATTACTTTGGACAGCGCACGCGCTGGATACGCAATTAAATGTATCGTAACGATGTCTGGCAATAAATACCGATACATATAACGATTTAAAATTATAAAATTTATCATGTTATTTATTACTGCGAAAATATTATCATTATTGCAACTCGGAGATAGTTCGATATTACTTTCAATTAATCGGATGCTTGGGAGATAAAAATTTATCTAAATATAGATAGTTGAATTATAACTTAAAAGCGTTTCTGCGTCTCTTCGTGTTCTTGTACGAATTTTACTTTACGCATACATCGGTAAGATCCAAGTCGTATATACGTGAGCGGTCGGGGTGCGATGACCCACAATCATGTTATTTTGACTCCACCGTCGTGTACCACGCAGATTAAATACAGCTAATCCGAAATAAGCGCAGCGAATCTACGGGCCGGTGGTGATCGTAAAGATCAATCTGTGCGAATTACCGAGTGGGAGTGTTATTGGGCCGCTCTCGGGAGAGAGAGAGAGAGCAGGAAGCGTTCACTACCGTAACTCTGGTGAAGGAGCACGCATCGCAAATCAGAGTTAAAAGCATTTCGACGAAAGTCTAAATCAATTATATGATCCGGCTCGGCCCGACCGAGATCGCGGTGGATCTATCCGTGTGATCGCGAAAGGAGCGAATCGCTCGGATTTGTATATACACGTGTACAGAAACGTATGCCGATGCCACAAAAGAGATGATATCATGGCAAATATCGATCGTGTCTTTGTAGACTGCTGAGTTTCGACATTGATTTGTGTATCGTATCGCGTATTGATCTCGGTTTTGAGATCAGCAATGAATAATGGATCGATTGGCCGGTTGCAATCCATCGATAAGCTCCTTGGAGTTTGCTCTATCGCGCGTGACGAACCAAAAGCAGGCTATTATCCGGTCGTCTGTGTATGCCAATTTTTCTGTAGGGAGACATTTAACTTTCGGAAGAGTTGCTCTGAATGGCGGAGAGGTCAATTCGTACCACAACATCCCAGATACGCTGAACGATAATTTCGAAATAAATTTTAAATTTGAGATATTTTGCGATATTTAAAACTCTGTTTTTACTAAGACTGCACATATTTTTAAAAGTGTTGATTTTATTTCTAAGATATTTTCCAACATGTGTAACATTTTACCTAAAAGTCTTCGTTTCTGATATATAACATGACCTACCAAGCAAGAATTATTTTGTGTCATTGGGATCTACCGTAGCTAATTTAAAATTTAAAAAGGACTTCAGGATAATCGATCGATGATACTACGGCACTGAGCATGATCGACCACTTTCATGCCCATAAAGGGTTCACGCGCATATATGCGTGTTTGCCAGCAGCAACTGCGACAAGTGGCGAGCTCTTACCGGAAGCCAGCGCGGATCGTTACGCACGGTTGTATGTTTAATAAATAGAAAATTTATCTGGCGACCGTGCGCAAAACGGACCGCAGAGTAAACTGGCATAAGGATTTTTCAAGCAAATGTCCTTAGATGGGGAGAAAGCGCGTTTTACGCGCACGCGTTTGGTACGAACGGATATGTACGCGAAGCGTCTGGTCGCCGCGCGCTGACGCGCGAAAGTCTTGCCAAATTTGTAGCTACGGTGACTCGCAAGATACTCGTATTGCGAGATCGATTAGACGAGTGTCGGTTCGTCGCCTTTTTGAGCAAAGATTATCGTATGAGGGCTTTGTGCGTACGTCGAATACGATCGGTGTAACATTTCGTGCTTTAAACGAAATGCATACGATTTTAATCAAAGAAATGTAAATATTTTTTATATAAAATAAAGTCTTAAGTGATAATATAATTCTTGAATTTAAATATCGAGACTGTAATATAAAAGTTACGCTTTGTTAGTGTCTTATTTGCTACAAAACAAACAAACTCCGGATTGTGTGAAAATAATTGAATATTTATATGAAGATTTCTAAGTAGAGAATCTTTTTTAGGAAATTTCAGATTCCGAAATGTTAATATTCTAAAAAGATTATAAGAAACTAAATTCCAGAATTGTAAGACTGTAAAACTTTGAATCGATAGTTATGATTGTCGCTAGATCGCGCGACCTCCAACTGGTGAATGAAACGTTGTGGAGGTGTTTATAGCCGCTGGATTGAGATTAATCGAAATATACCGAGCAGAAAATACCGCGATGCAATATCACCGTGGGGGAAAGTGCCAAGTTCCTAAGGCGGTTTATTTTCTGCCTATGTCTTACTATTTTGTTATCGCATTGACCTGATTTGCGCCCAAGGCCCATTGATCCTCGCGCGAGCCAGGTAATTTTATTCGCCCGTTTTAGACCGCGGCTGCTAAATTGCTCTCACCTTCGTCATGCGGCCAGTATATTACGCTTACATAGTCCTCGTAACGCATTAGGTAAGATCAGTTTACAAAATGCCAGAATTGGGTGTGACGTGCCGACGCGTGTTGACATACCATTAAAATTATCTCTGGGCTATTTCGTGATAATGAAGATGTGTGGCAATTAACGTAATGTGTTTTCTTTGCGGTGAGAAAATTGTAGGAATATGAGATGATACAAATTTAAAGCATTAAAGCATTAAGATATTTTTTTGCTTCTTTCAGAAAATTGTAAGAGAAGATTTCACATGTATTTTTTAGTCATGCAATATGTAGTCGCGCGCGTATGTGCGTGTATAATTGCGGTGTGTAAAAAATTTAAGAGAAGCAGCAGGTTTAACGCATAAAATTCAACATATATAATATATAATGTTCTGAGATAAAGATGAGTATCTTTATTGCTTCCTCATATTCCTTCTCTTTATCTCGACAACATCGAAAATTAAACTCTCCGGCCAGAAGGCGTTTTAAATAAAATTTTCGGCTGACGTCGACCTTGCACTCCGAATGGAAAGCACTGACCGACGTATAATGCGTTTTATCGGGTGAAAGCTAGCCGCCCCGATGAGACGTGCGCACGTGAAGTGTAATGATCTACCGAATCGAAGGCCTTACGAAAGCAAAAGGCGGAGCGGAGGCCCTCCGGCGTTGACGTTCTCGCGAAACGATTCTGGTACGAAACGTGCTTTGCGAAGCGCGCGATTGATCGATACGAGGAAGCGACACGTAACATTGTCCGTGACTGAATGAACGAGTCGTGACGAGGTTCCTACAGCTCTCGTTCTACAATAACGTAATCCGCCGTGGAATCATCGCGACTGCACGCGCGATTGCATTGAATAGATTCGTTCGATTTTTGCATTTTTCCGTAGTCTTTATTTTCCCGACAGACGAGCGTGCGATAGTCCCTCCCGTTTTACGTTGAAATATTCTCGTTCTTCTTTGCTGTGTAATGAATCTAGAATCTGAGGAAATTTCTTCAGTATGAAATCTTCCCGGAGGGAAAGATCAATACTCCGAAATGCCGCAATAGCGTGACTTCGAATTTTCAAACGATATACTATAGATTATAGAATATGCTTGCGTCAGTTCCATATAAGATTATAATATGGAAATGCGAAAGAATTTCTTTACGGCCGAATCTTCGCGTGCGTAACGCATATAAGTACGCGGGCAAGAGAAAGTAGAGGAATGACTGATGCGTTTTATAGGAATAATTTATACGCGAGCGTCGCGCGTAACTTAATTTGGTAAAGCGACGTAGCAGCGGCGCGGTGCGGCGCGGCGCGGCGTGGCGGCGTACATTCGTGTAAAGGAGTAGTAGATATCCGGGACTTTCCCTGTCAGACGATCGGGGTCCCTTTTCCTCTCTCGCCGGAGGTCCGAGTCGTTTTCGTTCGATCCTCCCTATAATTGTTATTAATAAAAGCTTTCACTCTCTGCGCCCGTGACCACCGAAAATGAGATCTCTCTCGCGCGCGCGCGCCTCTCGATCCCTGTGTTTGTCGAATCAACGAAAGTGGCAATTTGCGGCAATTGGGTCGATTTAACAGCGGTCGTATTATTGTGCTCGATCGACCATGTTTTCGTGCCCTACTTCGATCTGGTTCTTGAAAATTGCTGCTTCTCTGGAGCTACGCCGTTCGCACTGATGAAGGTAAT